GTAATTAACTATAACTCACTCAAAATCATTAAATCAAACTTGGTAATTCCCATCCGGCGTCAAATCCACAATATCGTTAATTTATCTGACGAAAATGATCAGTAACTCGTCGTTAGGGAAACCATCAAAAAACCACTACGCCGAGAGAGGGCGCAATTCAAAAGTTTATACCCAGGTATAAACCGCACAGGAGTGATATTGCCTGGGGACGTTTCGGAAATCTACTGCAAACACTAACGAACACTAAATTACGTGTCAACCTACAAGTACGACTGTACATTTCTGTCATCAATTTAACGTTGATTTACGGATTAAACGCCTGGTTCCTTAAAAACGAGGTAGCCCAAAAACTGAATGGCGTTAACTCAAAGATGCTATCAGTGATCACCAAACGCAGTATTCATGAGGAGGCGAGAGAACCTTATTCCACGTAGTTGATCATGTGAGACAAAAGTGATAAAATACCTCGGGCATATCCGAAGTATTGATGAAGAACGATCCGTACATCGATGTCTTTTGGAGTTATCCCAAATGGTGGCCCCGTTTATTCCTGGCCCACTTCTCGTCGATACTCATTTTAAGTCAGTGGAAGAGATGGTTCAAATCGCTTCAGATCAGAAACGCTGGAGGGATGCCCGCACAGACGTTTAAAAGAAAGATACAGTTGAGATTAGTACGAGTAGTAGCTTGCCCCCATTTGGGGAATGCAGCGAAAGAAGAGGACGTTTTTCCAGGTGCTCGGCCATCACAACACATTACCGTACTGTATGTTGTATCATATAATTGTACTGTACTAAACTGTACCTCAACTTCGGCTTACTCCCGCTACAGTACGGTAGGCTGACCATTGGCTGACACAGACTTGAAAGTAGCAAATGCGCAAAATATGGTTTTTGAATAATTCATTAAAATTTTACCAAACTTTACTACAAGAAGAAATTTGCGCGCCGCAACCTACAACCATAATATCGGCGCTGGTTCGAACGGCACGCTCGCCTATGGTTCTGGAAGTGGAAAAAGTCTTCTCGAATAAGGTACTATAAACCGTAGGCCTAGTGTACACAATTGGCTCAAGTGCACTTTAAAGAACCCAGTACATCTCTGGAGATGAGTAGGAGGTTACTCGGTGTATTGGTCATGATACAGCTCCTGTTGTCTTGTGATGGGATTGCCACTTTGAAGAGTGATTTAGTTCATTGTTTGGCATATCGTTGGCTCTAGTGCCTATAAAGCTGAATAAATAAATAAATTCACACGACTGTGATATCGGGTTCGAATCCCGATGTGCTAAGTATGTCATGTCCTAATAATGTTTTTATTGGTCTTGCATACAACATAATATTATTACCAAACACGACCTGAATGTTTATGATTACACAGTCATTGTAATAACTTCTTATGAAAACCCAATATCCATGGCATCGTGACATACACAAAATAGACTTGCTTTTGAACCAAGGAAAATGTCGCCATTTCACTATTTATTCACGTTGTTCTGACATAATTCAATCATCAGTATTTCGTATTTTTACAAATTTTAATCACACACAATAACCTCTGACCTTGAAAATTTCCCTGGTAGTTTCCATTCACAAACTTACAAACTATTGTTATATTTATAGAGAATACAAAAATACTTACTTTTCTTCCATTGAGCCCTGACTTGTGACCTTTAAATCGTACTACCGATGTGGTCAACAACAATAACTCACTTCCTTCTATAAAAGTTTCACATTATTAAACAATGTTCGTTCGTTTATTATATACCGATAGTAAATAAACAGATTTTTTTAAATATTATTTTTCATGCGACCTTTGACCTCTTTTTATCACACAGCCACACCAAAAAATCATTAACACAAATATTTTATTTGACCTATCAAAACTGTAGAAGAAGAAAGATGTATTTGAAGTTCGATTCTAAAATGCGACCGAACAGTGACCATTGACCTCTTAATATCATATATACTCACAAAACAATCATTAACGCAAGTTTGTATTTATTTCCTCAAAAACTGCAAAAGTATAGAAGAAACATGCATTTAATGAGTTATTACAAAATACGACAGACTTTTATTGCAAAATACGACAGCTCAGTGTATTAAAAAATGCGACAAAAAGTTATTACAAAATACGACAGCTCTGTTATTACAAAATACGACAGGGTTTGTTAAAAAATTCGACAGACTTTATTAAAAAATACGACAGGTATTACAAAATACAATTATTAAAAAATAATCTGACGTTATTTGAATCTGTTCAACCAGGGAACAGTGAAATTTCACTGTTCCTTGGTTCAATCATGAAGCATCTGTAGTCATAATGATTCTGACACTCGCCTTGACAGCGAGAGGTTGCATGCTCGAATCCCGTCAGAGGCATTTTTTATTACACAATTTATTTATAGGACTACATTCGTTGAGAGCTATGCTACATGATGTATTTATCATGCCCTTTATTCGAACACTGTATTTACCTTTCTTTGATGATATTTATATATATAGGCATATTTAAAAATAGTACGCAATAATATTTACCTGATAGCTTGGGAGATATATTGGTTGCATTGATCGTCACTACAAGCTATGATCTCAATACAAGACAAATCTGTTTGTCCAGTTGAAAGCACTGGATCAGTTGTTATAGTACTTGGTACATAATGAGGTGTTGTTCCATCTTGGATTTCTGGCGTTACAGCTAAAACAATAATCAAGTACATGGTTGAACAATGATAAACAAAATAAATAGACCCAATATTTTTTATTACAATAACCGCATATATTTGTACCATACAAAATACTGTGGATTATACAGCCCTTCTTGCAGACATCAGTTGAGCCCTAACAGTAATTACGCGATGTTGCAATACAACAGTAGAAACGGTTGATGCATCAGTTGTAGCTTGGACCCCCAGGTTTGGGGTTCGAAACTCTCGCTGTGCAAATCGCTTGTGTCCTTGGGTAAGGCACTCTATCTACGGTTGCCGCTCTCTACCCAGGAGTACAAGTGTACTCCTGGATGGAGTACACTTGTTTTTTGAGTATGGGTGGAGTACAACTTGTAAGGCCCTATAAACTTTTTTTTTTTATGAGAACCAGTAAAAAATTGTTTTTGCCGATTTCAAGCTCAAAATGTTCTTATTTTTACACACTCTTCAAACATCGAAAATTATTGTTTTACAGCAGTGTATTACTGTACTTTATAAAGATAAAGAGTGAATTGTATAGTATTACATCACACCTACCGCACATAAGGTGTAGATAAAATATGTTGATTTTTCTATTTAAAAAAAGAAAACCTTAGTTGACATTTTGCATCATCCTCAATTTGTTCTTATTTTGTTCTTAATTTTTAAGCTATTTCAACCTCAGTATTCTTATAAAATGTGTTCTTATAAAAAAAAAAAGTGTACCCTACCATATTTCAACACCAATATGACTGTTAATGTTAAGCATGGACAAGTAAATGCCTAAAGTGCCTAATGATGATGATGATGATGATGATGATGATGATGATGATGATGATGATGATGATGATGATGATGATGATGATGATGATGATGATGGTGATGATGATGATGATGATGATGATAATGATGATGATGATAATAACTAGACATACTATGTCTGTTTGTAAAAGAGAACATAGGGCCTTTCCTCATTGCCATAATGGGAAATGATGTAAAAAAAAAGAAGATAAAAACCAGTCATAGTCGAACGTAAAAAACACACGAAAATTACATACCAAGACAGGATTCGAATTCACGACCTCTGGTTCTTTAGAACACATCGTCAACCTAACGCGCCACCCACACGATGTGTTTGTGGTAATGGCAGTAATGTACAGTCTTTTCTAAAACCCCTGTTTTGTTTTATAGTTGTATGGGGCACCCTTGGTCCAACTTAAAAAAGGGCCATGAACGTTTGTTATAAATCACCTCTAGTTTATGTGAAACAAAAACAACAACAATAAAAAGTGAGGTTCAGCCGAGTGTAGGAAGAACTTCCCATTGGAGCTAATAATGATAATAATTGGGCCTAACGGCCGCCCATACAAACGACAACGACCGCTCACCGGTCCGCGAGTTAAACTGGGGTCACCTCTATTCAGCGTTTAACGTTTATTTATTTTTATTTATTTTTTTGTTGCTTTTTGTTTTTGTTTTTTGTTTGTATAAATGGACATTCTATGATATTTGGGAGCTGGTGGACAAAAAAACATTGGAAGAGCTAATAATTAAGATAGACATAATTTAGCATTTTGGAATGCACTGATTTTAGTGTCTCACAAACTAGTAACCAATTGCCTGTGCCGAACTCCAAATGAAAGTTGGGCCTAAAACCTGCATTTCACAAATGATGGGAGATCCTGATAACTTGAATAGACCAATTAAGCATGGAGTACAAAAATATTTTATTCTACAATAATGTTCAGCCACTTTACAAAATAACTGGGTCGCGACGGCATAGTTTGAAAAAGGACTTTTAATTGTTGAACGTCTTTGGTTTGAGTACCAAGGTATTAGGTGTTCAATTAACGGTTGGGTAATAATGCGTAGCTAATATTAGTATCCACTGGCTTATGTCGGACACCGAAAAAAGATAAATACTTCTATTGTCAGTAAAACCCACTCATAGTCTGAATACCAGCGTTCTGAACTAATTTGGAAAATGGTGACACGTGAAATTAAACAATTGCAGTAGGGGATCCATAATTCGAAATAGAGGGGCCAAGGGATCAGACTCTGACAGATGGAAATGTAACAAAAATTTATATCACCTCTAGGTCATTCAGACTTACATTTGAATATAATTTTCTTTTTCCATATGTTTAAAAATAAATTTAAAAAATTTAGGAGCCTCCCGCCCACATGAGTCG